GAATATAATTGAGTTGAATTTAGTAAATTTGATACCACATGATCTAGACACGGTAGGACACAATTTATTGGCAACTTTATTATGAAAGGTTTGCTGGACTTACTTTCCACCAAGATAAGGAACACCCTTCCTTGAGTTAGCAGGAATTTCTCCTTGTAAACCAGAGATGATTTCTGTCATTTGTTGCACAACTTTGGGATCCTCACTGTAACTTTCATAGCATCGACCCCATCTTGGATCTCTGCATACTGCGATGCATGGAGCAAAAACATAAGGAATCCCTGTAGCTCTAACTTCAAGTGCTGTTGCACCACCAATCCTCTTCACAAGCTCTGGGTCCCTGCAATTCAGGTGAAGAAAGCATCATATCTCTCTTGTAGGAAACAAACCAACGCCCACAAACTGTGTGTCTATGCATATATTGGTAAGGTACATAAGCAATCCAAACCTCCATGAGAATTAAAAAATAATAACTTAAATTATGAAATAATAGACATTGTTATGGTCTACCAACTTGCCTGGTTGCTCCAAGGCCAACATTGTGGGGAAAGATAGTTGCCTTGTACACATTGTTGTGGCCATGAACAGCATCAATCCCATAAATCATAGGGATCCCAAGTCTGCTAGACAAAGAGGCATTCTGAAACTCATTCACCATGTTAACCCAGTCCTCTGCGGTGGCATGGGGAAGTGGCACACTTCCTCCTCCACTTAGAACACTGCCAATTGAGTAATCCCTTAGCACATCAGCCGTTGCAGCCACCCGATCCAGCTGAGCCATCTGACCAATCTTTTCTTCAAGTGTCATTCGATTCATGAGGTCCCAAATCCGAGCACCAATCAGTTGTTTTGGGTCTTTGTACTTCATGTATTCTGATTGTGCAATGCCTACCCATAGGCATAAGAACATGAGGCCTACTAATGGGATTGAAATCCTTGCCATCGTTGCTTAGAAAACTTGTAAGGTTTCTGTAACAAAATCAGGGAGAAAAAAAGGTTATGGTCAAGACAATTTATGTATTTTTCTTCTTAAAAGAAGGTAATACAATTTGTGAACATGGTCACTAATCTAGGGTTCAAGACTCAAAGAGACTCCTTAGAATCCAACTACCTAGGCATCCGAAAAATTAGTTTGAAAAAAAAAAAAATCTACATGGTAACGTATAAATCCGGTTGTTAGATCACAATACTAGCTAGTTCGGCTGCAAAACATGATATAGACAGAATCTATACACATATATACAATTACGTACACAATCACAAATTCTTAAAAGACTTACGTAGTAGATGCATGTATACAAAAAGATTCAAAGTTTACTGATATAGGAAAAACATAACAAGAAAAGAAACAATTGTGAAAGAAACCAATGGACGAATCAATTCAAAACCCATATTAGAACCAAAATTGAGAAGGACAAAAAAAACTAATTGTCCATAATAAGGCCAAGAGAGATCATGAAAGTACATTATGTAAAACTATCAAAAAGTTCAGTATGTAGACCTATAAAATTCCATTCCATAATTACATAAAGCAGAACATCACACCTAACCTGAAAAAGAAGGGAAGACAATATGCAGATGATTTCATAGACATAATGAAGTCAAGACCATTATTTATAGCAACGAGGACTGGTGATAGTGTTATGACACAATTTCGATTGATGTTGTGATGGACAGATCTGGACTGTCAAACATTGTTTTGGACCGATGATCAGGAGGATGTAGATATTCAAAAAGTACGTAGTTGAGATAGATAGGATTAGTTATTCAAATTTGGATAGGATAAGGATTATCTCCTTATAATTCGGAAAGATTCACCAAATAATAGACAGAGTGTCATAAAAATTCAAGTAAAAAGAAGTCCTGGTAACTCTCATCCGATTGAACCCTTGACCTACTTCAACTCTCTCTCTCTCTCTCTCTCTCCTCGGCATTCAGTTTAACTTCAATTACACTTCTAGAGACAATCTTGTAATACGAATTAACTATGAAAACCGGGGAAATATAGGAGTTATATATCTTTCAAAGTGCCAATTAGGGCCTTCCTAGTTTAAAACTATTGATGATTGTGCAATGTTATAATTAGTTTGCAGTCTTGAGTTCTTTCTTTTCTTCTAAAATCATGTTTTCTATTTTTTTTGGAATAAAATAACAAATTCCTAATTGCTAAAATAATAATATTATTGACACTAAACACTTTTTTGTCCTAATTATGTGGTAGAGGGAGACATGAACAAACAAAGTCTTTTACACCTCTATTAGCTACGTTTGGAAAAAAATATTCATTGCAACTGTAATACTAAGTCAGTATTGTCACGTGATATCATTAATCAATAATATACAGAAAAATAAAAAAGTGGACCCTACCCAAATCAATAATTACCGGTTCATTTAAGCAGATAACTACCCACTTTTTTTTTTTTTTTTATGTAAGTTAATAACTACTCAAATAAAGTTTACTTTGTCTATTTATAATTTTATTATTGATTGGTGATACTATATTATCAATTCGAATCCAAATATGTTGTATTATATTTCATAGGTGCAAATTTGCGATATGTATTTCCAGTTCGATTGTGGTCCAGAGCAAATTATATTTGTAGGATATAGAAGATGAATTGATTAATCTCTGATGAGATTGAAGTGAATCCCAGATCAATTCCTTCCTAACTCAACACTTTGTCCACCTCTATCAAACCAACCATTGTCATATGTCTCCATTAAAGAAGACATTTTTATGTGTGTTATACTGGTGGCACAGCGGTGATATATAGAGGATATAATTTATTAGGGTAATTATCATCCACATTCTCTCTAAATACGTATATTTTTAATGAAACTCATTTTAGTTTATATTTAAACATCACTGACACCCTTAAACCACCGTTTTTAACAAAAAAAAAATTCATCTAAAATACTAAAATTATTTTACATAAACTCCAAACTATCTTTCTGCGTAAAATTTGATTAAAATTCGAGATTATTAAAATTTAATTTTTTACATATTAAAATTCAGATTAAAATTCGTTTTTACATATTAAAATTTGGTCGATTAAAATTTGATTCTAGCCAATTAATTATTTTTTTTTATGTATTAAAATTTGAGTCGATTCGTGCTCAACCTATGCTGCTAGCGCCGATTAAAATTGGATTCGAGTTGATTAAAATTTGTATTTTTTTTTGTATTAAAATTCGAGCCAATTAAAATATGATTCAAGTTGATTAAAATTATTTTTTATGTATGTTAAAAATTTATAATTTTTATGTATCAAAATTTGGGATTGTAAAAATTCAATTATAGTTGATTAAAATTCGATTCGAGCCGATTATAATTTGTTTTTAACACTTAGATAAAATATAATTTTTAATTGACTTAATTTTAATTCGTAAAAAATTTATTTTAATTAATTTGAATTGAATTTTAACTAACCTAAATTTTAATATATAAAAAATTTTAAAAAATTGAGAGAATCTTATTAAAGGTATGCCTATCTAGAGACTTGAATGGTATGTACATTTCTATATATACCTCTTAACTGTGCCACGTGGTGACTTATACACGAAAAAACTTTTTTCAACAAATCCTCTACTCCATTTCTAGCCTTTTACGCAACTTCACCCATTCATTCCATGGAAATCCAAGTAGTTGCTTTTGCAAATTCTGAAAAGCCGAGCAATTTTGCTCGGTTAGACAGATTTTTATTGCTTCATGAATTTAACACCACGGTTAGACAGATTTTTATTGCTTCATGAATTTAACACATTCTATACAACTTTCATAAATCCCCATACAAAAAAAAAAAAAAAAACCTTTTAGTATTACACAACAGCTTGGTTTCAAGTCCAAAACCAAAGGGAAACCGTGGATCATAGTGTGCATCTCCAACATTCATGGGAAGCTGATCCACAGTCTTGAACCAAGTCCGAGCAAGTTTACCGGTGAACCCGTAATCCCCGAAAAGAACGTCGGCCATGCCTTGACCCTCTGATCCAGGTAGCCATGCAGCAACCAAAGTGTCACGGGGTAACTTTTTTTTTTTTTTTTAAGGCTACCTGTAAAGGCGTTGCTATTGCAACCAGCCACACACAAACTCAAGAATAAGGGACAAAAACTCAAACAAAAGGCACACACGAATTTACTGAGACAAAGTTCTCAAACCTTATATATTGAACTCAACAATTTATAAGAAATTCTCAAAGTCAGAACACTCTCTCTCTATCAGAATGCTCAAGCACCCCTATTTATACAGGAGTAAGGCATATGACACTCCCATCTGCCAAAGGGTAGTTACACACATTTTTGCTATTCCATAGCATACTTGGCTAGCAGGCTTGGTTTCTGTGCGACACCTGGCAGACAGTTTCACCCCTTTCAGTAACTGATGTGGAACTGCCCTTCATCAGCATGCATCTGGACTGAATTCAGACTAGGGACGCCCGGAACTGCCTCAGCAACTGTCTTGACTGTGTCTCAGCATCTACAACTGCCCATATTCTCCTAGTCACATGCATTGAGCAGTCATGTGCCCACATTCAGCAGTCAACCTTGCTTCACGAACCAATGTGCATGCTGGGTTCAACCCATGCCATGCAATCTGAAGCTATGCACCCACATTGCTTCAATTGAGCCCACCACGTGTTGTCATGCTCAACTGGGTGGTCTCATGCTGCCTTGGTTCACCCCAATCTGTCGAACCACTTAGCCGCGTCACCTTGATTCCAACTTATAGCATGCCTTGGTGCAAGGTGCCAGCAAGACCGGCCATTTGCACCCAAGTCAGTTAGGGTGTGACAAGCCACCCCCACCTGAAGTATCCAACGATCTTATTGGAATGGAGGCATGGTATTGCTTGATGAGATCCTCGAACTACCATAATGTCATCTCTTTCTCCCAAGTGGCTTCCTCCGGTGCTTTCCCTTTTCACTTGACTAGGTAATGAGTTCTTCTGTTTTTCTTACTCATTCCCTCAATCTTGTGGTCAAGGATAGTTTCAGTTATTTCTATGAATTGCTTCCTGATTGTTGGAGGAGCCTGACGCCGAACATATCTGTTAGGGTCCTCCGGGTCCTCAATATAAGGCTTCAAGAAGGCAACATGGAAAACGGGATGAAGCTTGAGACAATTGGGAAGATCCAGTCTATAGGCCAACCTGTCAATCCTCATTGTTATAAGGAAAGGGCTGTCATAGCGCTGGATTAGTCCCTTGTGTGCAGACTTTCGAGAGATCTTGTTCCAGATTGGTGGAGTCAATTTCAGCATCACTTTGTCACCCACTTTGAACTCTACTGCCCTCCTCTTCTCGTTTGCCCACTTTTTCATCCTTTTCACCGCTTTAGTTAATTAGTCTTTTGCCTTGTCGATCCACTCCTGATTGGCCCGAGCAAAGCGGTATGCTGCAGGACATCTCCCTTGAGACTTTTGCTTGACAACTTCATGCGAGGTAAGAGGCTGTTGGCCAGTTGCCAACTCAAATGGGCTCATTCCAATGGAAGAGCTCTGTTGGAGGTTATAACTGAATTGGGCTACATCAAGTAAATCCACCCAATTGTCCTGGTTCGCTGTGACATAATGTCTGAGATATTCCTCTAGCATTGCATTAACCCGCTCGGTCTGCCCATCTGTTTGCAGATGATTGCTGGTGGAAAGGTTGAGCTGTGTGCCCAACAGTTCAAATAAAGCCATCTAGAACTGACTAGTAAACCGAGTATCCCTGTCGCTGACTATATCCAGCGAAAGACCCCAAAGCTTCACAATATGCTTGAGGAACAACTAAGCAGTAACTTCCGCCGTACATACTTTTGGGGCAGCAATGAAAGTGACATACTTCAAAAATCTGTCTACAACCACAAATATCGAAGTAAAATCGTTCACTTGAGGCAAGCCATTAATGAAGTCCATGGAAACACTCTCCCAAGGTCTGCTTGGAATAGGGAGGGGTTCCAACGTACCCGCCACCTTCTTCCTTTCTGTTTTGTCTTACTGGCACACCAAACAAATGCGCACATACAGCTCCACATCTGTTTCCATGCGGGGCCAATAATAGCATTCTGCTAACAAGGCAAGAGTCCGTTACTGCCCTAGATGTCTTGACCACGGAGCATCATGTGTTTCTTTCAGCAACATTTGTCAAAGTCCGCCTGACTTCGGAACATAGGATCTCCTTCCTTTGGCGTAGAGAACACCATCTTCTACCCAAAAACCCCGAGTCACCCCTTCGTGAACCTACTTCAACAATAAGCTGGTCGCTGGATCATCTTTTGTCTGATCCTAAATTCTCTGTAGTATGTCTCCTACAATCTGGCTAAGTGCAACAACCGTCCCATCAGCAACTGAGATTTGACTAAGAGCATCAACAACCTGATTTGCATTGCCAGGCTTGTACTGCAACGCGCAATGAAACTAGGCAAGAAAGTCCTGCCATCTTGCTTGTTTTGGTGTCAGCTTCTTCATGGAATTGAAGCAGCTGGTAGCCACATTATCTGTCAGTACAAGGAAATGCTTCCCCAACCAGTAATGCCTTCATGCATTGATGTAGTGAATGAGTGATGTCATCTCCTTCTCATGTACTGAATACCGCATCTCGGTATCATTCAACTTCCTACTTTCAAATGTCACTGGATGCCCATTCTGCACCAGCACCCCTTTAAGAGCAAAGTCTGATGCGTCTATATAGACCTTAAAAGGCAAATCAAAGTTAGGTAACCGTAAAATTGGGCTAGACGTCACCACCGCCTTCAATATATCGAATGCCTCCTGAAATTCGTAGGACCAGTTCCATGTCCTATCCTTCCTTAGAAGATCAGTCAGCACCGCAACCTTCTTTGAATAATTCTTCACAAATTTTCGATAATAGTTTGCCAAACCAAGGAAAGAACACAGTTCAGTAACTTTAGTAGGGACATGCCAATCTGCAATGACCTCAACTTTCTTCAGGTCCATCTTCACCACGCCCGCAGAAATAATATGCCCAAGGAATAAAATTTTCTTCTATGCAAACTCACATTTTTCTGGTTTTAGATACAACTGGGCTTCCCTTAACTTTGTCAAAGGTAGCCTAAGATGCTCAACATGCTCCTCAAGAGTCTGACTGTATACAACTATGTCGTTCAAATAAAGCATCATGAAACGGTCTAAGTATTCCCGAAATATATTGGTCATCAAGTTACAGAATGTAGCAGGGGCGTTGGTTAAGCCGAAAGGCATGACTAAAAACTCATATGACCCGTACCTTATCACACAAGCAGTCTTCGCCTCATCTCCCTCTGCAATTCTGATTTGATGATATTCCAGCCACAAGTCCATCTTGGTGAAGAAAATCGCCTTTCCTAATCTATCAAATAATTTGTCAACAAGCGACACTGGATAATTGTTCTTGACAGTGACTTTATTGAGGGCTCTGTAGTCTACACAAAGCCGTAAGGATCCGTCCTTCTTTTTCTGAAACAGAACAGGGGCTCCATAGGGTGCCTTGGAAAGTTGAATGAATCCAATATCCAATAAACCCCCAAGCTGTCTCCTTAGCTCTGCCAACTCTGATGGAGACATTCAATAAGGAGACTGGGCTGGGATTTTTGCCCCTGGAATCAACTTGATGGCATGATCAATCTCTCATCTTGGTGGTAACCTTGTTGGCAATTCTTTAGGTGCCACGTCCTTGAACTCAACCAGCAACTGTTGCACTGGTTCAGGGACTTGCAATGCTTTGGAATCCTCTTCCTCAAATAGAATAGTCAAGTATGTTGCTTCCCCCCTTCGCAAGCCAACTTTTACTTGCAAGGCAGACAACATTTTTCCCGAAAACTTGGCCTTAGTGAGGGGAACAAAACAGGGATTGGGCATGTCCATCACAAACATCCCATGTAAATGCGGCATAACATACACCTTTGCCTTTGTAAAGAATTGCAGTCCAAGGATTACCTGAAAATCATTGAGAGGGACTGCCATAAAATCACATGGTCCTTGCCAATCACCAACTTTTAAAGGAACTTCTCTTGCGATGCCGCCTACTAGTTTTGCCTCTAAATTAACAGCCTTAATCTGGCTAGAGTCTTTCACCAAAGCCAGACCAAGCCGCTGTACTTTCCGGTCAGAAACAAAATTATGGGTTGCACCTGTATCAACCATTGCCTAGACAGCCACATTGTTCAGGCGAATCTGCACAAACATCAACCCCCTCTTTGCCACCGTCTCCTCTTTGCGAATTGCATTAAGGAGTTGTAATGGGTTGACTCGTGTTGGTTCATCAGAATAGTCAGTTTCCTCAGCCATGAGGGCACTGAGGCTTTTCTTCCTGGGGCAATTTCTGGCACGATGAGGGCCATTACAGATAAAACAGCCTTAGTCAGCACCTCCCTTTGATGAAGAGGCTTTGTTAGTCAGTTTTTTCTGAATTTCCAGACTTCTCAGCCTTTTTCTTCTGCTTGTCCTTCTTAGGGAACTTGGCTTTCCCTTTTAACTCCTTCTCTAGAGGGTTATCCTACGTTTTGTAGTCAACCAGCGCATCTGCTGTGGACATAGCAGCGGGTAAGTCTTTCATCCCTTGCCGACGAAGTTCTGCCTGTGCGCAAGTTTGGAGGCTAGACATAAAGTTGAACAGCTTGTCTTCCTCTGACATATTTTTGATGTCAAGCATCAGAGATGAGAATTGCTTCACGTACTCCCTCATGATGCTTGTATGTCGAAGTTTCCTTAATGCATCACGGGCTTGCCAAGCCGTGTTGCCGGGAAGGAATTACTCCTTCATTTCAGCGGACAGAGACTCTCAAGTAGTAATTGGAGGACGAGATTTGTCCTCAGAACGTGTTGGCCACCATAAGTTAGCATCACCAGACAGGTACATGCTAGTAAGATCTACCTTCTCAGCATCCGGAGTGCGGACTGCTTTGAAGTAGTGCCCCATATCCCACATAAAGTTCTCAAGTTCTTTAGCATTATGATTGCCTGTGAAAGGCTTAGGGTCAGACACTTTAGCTTTCTGAGTGCTTTAACTGCCAGAAGCCAAAGAAGCATTCTGTAGTGCCTTCTTGAGCACTGAAACGTCTGTCTCGAGGGAACTCAATTTTTCCCTCATATCATCGGTCCATGTGGAGACCGTAGCCAGCACATCAATGACTTCATTTTTCACTCGACTGAAGTGATCAGATTCAGTCTTTTAAAGCTGTTCATGTGCAACACACATCTCTTCAAACCGCTGATGCAGCAACTCAAGTTGCACAGAGAGAGCCACAGCATCACCGGACTGTGGAGGACCAACCAACTCCTCCAAACGTGCCACCTTTTCCCTCAGATCAACACTCGTTCTGCCAACCATAATTGATCTTTTGCCAAAACCATGCTTTGATACCAAAATGTCACAGGGTAACTTTCATTTTTCTTTCGAGGCTACCTGTGAAAGCGTTGCTATTGCAACCAGCCACACACAAACTCAAGAGTAAGGGACAGAAACTCACACAGAAGACACACACGAATTTACTGGGACAAAGTTTTCAAACCTTATATATTGAACTCAACAATTTACAAGGAACTCTCAAAGCCAGAACACTCTCTCTCTATCAGAATGCTCAAGCACCCCTATTTATACAGGAGTAAGACAGATGACACCCTCATCTGCCAAGGGGTAGTGACACACGTTTTTGCTATTACATAGCATACTTGGCTACAGGTTTAGTCTCTGTGCGACACCTGACAGACAGTTCCACCTCTTTCAGTAACTGATGTGGAACTGCCATTTATCAGCATGCATCTGGACTGAATTCAGACTAGGGACGCCCAGAACTGCCTCAGCAACTGTCTTGACTGTGTCTCAACATCTACAACTGCCCACATCCTCTTGGTCACATGCATTGAGCAGTCATGTGCCCACATTCAGCAACCAGCCTTGCTTCACGAACTAATGTGCATGCTGGGTTTAACTCATGCCATGCAATCCGAAGCTATGCACCCACATTGCTTCAATTGAGCCCACCACGTGCTGTCATACTCAATCGGGTGGTCTCATGCTGCCTTGGTTCGCCCAAATCTGTCGAACCACTTAGCCGCGTCACCTTGATTCCAACTTATGACATGCCTTGGTACAAGGTGCCACCAAGATCGGTCATTTGCACCCAAGTCAATTAGGGTGTGACCCAAAGCATCAACGTGGGCGAGGTATGGCTAGATCACCAGAGGTCTACTAGAGATCAGGACGACAACACACTTGACACTTTTGATTGTGTTTGGGCCTGGTGATGGAATAGTTAGGTTCAAATTGTCTCCTCTTGTTTCAGCATAAGGGGGTTCTCCCACATTAACAATGGCGTAAGAGAGACGTTATTGGATTGAAGAAATTTGGAATTATGGTTTTTTTGGTATACTACTTCTGTGATTGGGTCAACAGCAGATTTGATGCCACTTAGGATTGTAGTTCCTATTGATTAGAGATGAATAGTCAACTAGTAAATTGTGTTCTCAAGTAGTAGACTAAATAGTTGAGGGGGATAGAATTAAAGGGAAAACACACGTGATTAGAGGTGTCAATCGAGTTTTGTCATGCCACTTGTGCAGTGTTATTTTAGTTTTTGTCGTGCTACCATGTCATTTTGAATCGTGTCATATTCTAGTTGTATTATTCTGGCTCATGTCGTATTTCCATTAATATCAATGCTAATAATAAACCATTTAATTCTAAAATATTTCATAATAGCAACTAACCCGATTTTTTATATTAAACTAGCCCGACTCATTTATTATTAGTGCAAAATGGTGGTGTTATTTTTGAAGTCGTGTCAAGGTGGTGTTAATAGGCAAAATTGACACCCTACCGGTGGTCATATTGTTGCCGGTTTGTCCCTGCCAAGAAATAGTCCAACCACCACATTGCAGACCCAAATCATCAGCATGGCTTCCAGCAACTAGGATCTTGGATGTATTTGTGGGAAGAGGAAGCAATGGACTATTTGCATGTTTCCCGTTCTTCAAAAGCACCAAGGATTTCCTCACAGCTTCCCTTGCCAAATCTCTATGTGCCTGTTCACCAATTATTTGAGGAGAAGACTAGGTACCAACTAAGATTTTTTTTTGGGTATCGTGTCAAAATTGCTGCAAAATAATATTGAGTTTATGATTCAATCTCATGATGTTATTGTCAAATGAGTTTGTTTGGCATGGATAATATTATTTTAGAATCAATTCCAACTTTTTTTGAGTTGTAATTTGACCTCTTAATACCCATAATACAAACACATATCGATCATCTATAGTCCCAATATGTGTTTACAAGCACTATTTCACAACAGGTGACTAAAATTTTCATTGATTGTATAGTTCACTAACCTTGCTTCCTATTTGATGAGCCAAGCTAAGATCAGAAAAGGGATTCTCGAAGAGGCCTGCAGTGAATTTGACTCTCAAAATTCTCCGGACAGCATCGTCTATACGAGTCATGAGAATCACCTTCTTCATGACCAAAGAGGTCAAAGTATCGATGAACTCAGTGTAATTGTAAGACCTGAAACACAACCATTGAAGGACTTTAAGGGTTGCAGTTTATTGACTAAAGGATACATGTCATAAATAGTCCCTAAGCTACGACTTTAGTTTTAATGTACCATGGTCTCAATTTAGTTTTTGAACTTTTAAAACCATTTTCTTATGTCTTCCATCCATTTCAAATATTAACATACACATTTCTTCCTCATGGCCATGTGCTAGTATTAGGGCTAGAAAGGAGATAAAGTCACAACCGCCATAATCGACCCATGCCATTGTACCACCGCCACCGCCACCGCCACCATGTTTTATGGTGATAGTAGGAATAAGGTAATTGCAATAAAATTGGTTAAAAAGAAGGTCAAAATTAAAATAATAATAATTTGTAGACTTCACCTCCTTATACTTATCAAACTGTTTGATTCAATTCAATACTTAAATTTCAATGAATACCAAACAGTCTGCGAATTAAAAAATTCAAAATTCAACACTTGAAACTTGACATTTAATTTTTAGTATTCAACTTTCAATTTTATCGAACACTACCATAGCCTCTATCTTATTTGGAAAACTTAAGGTTTCACATAAGAATGGTGGTTATCAAGCCGTTGTGATTTTATAGTTGTATTCTATCCCATGTAGAGATGGCAGTGGACCGGAAAAAAATGGAGATTAGTCCAAATCCGCCCCGTTTGGACCGGGGATGGACTATACGTATTGAACGGTGGACGTATACGGAGATATTCGTATAAACCCGTGCGAGGATGAAGGCGGGGATGGACTTACCCTTATCCCCGCCCCGCCCTGCCCCGTCCCCGTTATATATATATATATATGCCCAGTTAAAAAACCCAAGACCTAACTTCTCTTATTCTCTTCTCCTATCAGCGATTGAGCGTCGCCCCCCTCTCAAGACACACATGAACATCGAGACCAGCTTAGTTCCTCAAAATCCCAAGCCGTGACTATCAGCATAGCCCCCCCTCTCTCTGCTTCTCTCAGTCTCAGTCGATCGATCTCAGAGATCTTCCTAAAGGTTTTAGCAGCTTATCGAGTTTGCGATATTAAGGTGCTTGAGCTTCGTGGAAATCTTTCACATCTTTCGCAGGCACAAGCATCGCAGGTTATCTCTCTTTCCTCGTAGGTTTAGGCATGGCTGGCTTATAAGAAAAAAGAATGAAAGCAATAAGAAAAAGAAAATCCTTTTGCTAGAAATATGTTGATTGAGTTTGTATTTCCTACCAAACAGCTTGCTAATCCCGTAATTAATACCAGATTCAAATACTCTTACTCAACAATCTAAAATATAACGAAAGTTTTCTCCTTGTAATGTTTTTAAATTGCACATTTTAATGAAGGTTTAATGTCATCCATGTGCAGTTCGAATTGCACAGATTTCCTTCATTATGTAGGTATTATCCTTGATGTAATTTTATATATTTTCATAAAAGAAATAACTATGTTTCGCTTTAATTATTCTTAACCTTTATTTTGCTTGACTTTATCATCCTATTGTATTCGAGAAACTTCTCAGAACTGTTGTTTGCCATACTTCTGTTGACAAGTTATTCCTTTTTCAAGGGGAAGTGCATGGGAGCAACCTCCTCCAAATTTAGCATCTTACTTGTATAAGAATCGAATTGTCTACTTGGGAATGTCTCTAGTTCCATTGGTCACAGAGTTGATACTAGCAGAATATCTTTATCTTCAGTATGAGGATGAAGAAAAACCAATTTACCTCTACATAAATTCCACAGGGACAACTAAGGTTAACTATATTGCTTTATTTCATAGGGCTTCATATTAAATGTATGACTGAGTCTTTTGGGTAATTCCTAACCTCTATGTTGAGACATCGGAATTCAAAGTTTGGTGCCATCACCTTAGAGTGGCTCAGGGATGTTTACCTTTTCCATGATTGGTACCCCAATTATTATTTATTCCTTTCAAGGATTCTGCTTTTTTGAAGCTATCAATAGATGGATAGCTTTAGTGGTGTAGATGATTAACAACATTCAGAGATAACTTCCTCTCTTTTAGATTACTTTCCATTTGGACTTCATATTGGCACCAGAAGTGGAAACATTTGTTGGATATGCACTTTGAAAATTTTGTGTTTTGAAAAAGGAGATATACACTTCGAAAATTTGTGGAAATGACATAAGTAATTCAGAGTTCAAAAATATGTGTTTCTCTTATAATGTGATTGTGGGCTTGGGCTTGGACGAGAATGGGTGAAGTGGGGACGGGGGCGGAGATTAAAAAATTCTCCGCAGACAAGAATGGGGATTAAAAAAATACCCGTTAACGGGGTGGACCGGAGATAGACGAAAGTTTTTTAAGCGGGCACGGGGATGGAGACTATACCCCTGCCCCCGCTTCGGTCCACTGACATCCCTAATTCCATGATCAGTATATTTATTTTAGAGCAGTGTCCTCACCATGCCAAGGCCGGCATGAATTGCAGTTTGAACGGAGTATGTGTAATTTGCATGGGGTGGTGACGTGATTCTATCAATACCTTGCCAATCTGAGATGACAAAACCCTGGCAATTTGTACAAACAGAAAAAATTAGCATACAACTCTTCGTGCACTCACTTCAAGAAAGAGAGCTAAAAAAGTAATCACCGCTTTTGAAAGAGGTTCATACTCCACGGTTTCGGATTTAGATATATTACTCTTTGGTTCAAGATGTTGGGTAGTGGAAGCAAAAATAGATCACCAAAAGAATACAAAAATAGAGGATAAAAATCTATTATACATCCACACCAATTTCACTCTAGAAACACTTATATTTTTCATCAAGAATGATTACAATATCAAGGAATACGAGGGGAAAACTAATCTGAAATTTTCAGCAGTAAACGCTCAAGAAATACAAAGAAATAGAGCTTCTGCTCATGTCACACACTGCTGATTTTTTTTCTGGCAGCAACACATTGTTTTTTATTCTCTTTTTTCTGCACAGAAACACTATGGCAGCAGCAGCCAGATTTTGTCTCTTCATTTTCCCATGTAGTAGTACATGAACACTCCTCTCAAAAAAAAATCTGGACTTTTCTAGTGATTACCTCTCAAATACCATGACTTTTCAATACCCAAAAATACAAAAAAAAAAAAAAACTACCCTTTAAGAATTACAAAAAAAAAAACTACCCTTTAAGAATTGAGTTTATAAAAACTAACACAAGAAGGATCTAAGTTTCAAAAATTACAAAATGTTTATACCTTGAATCCAAGGGTGCCCTTGAGGTACTTGGTGACAAGATCATAATTTGCATGCATTTTTTTGCCATTCCAACTTGAATAGAACACCATTATGGTTGCCACACCCTTCCTGATGGAGTCGAGATAAGCAAGCATGTGAAATTTGAGCAGTCCTTGCCAGTCAATCACCGTGTTGTTTTCATTGATCCCTTTCGTCGTGCCACCATCACCCACAAAGTGTTTCGCACAGGCCACAACCTTGGTTCTTCATATTCGAAGCCACAGAGAAAAAAGAAACAAAAATGATATAGCTTGGGACGAAATGAAACAATTTTTCATCAAATTTGTAACAAATATTAATCATTAGACAGTTTAAAATTAATTAATAACCATAATTAAAGGTACAATGTAAAAATTATGATAATTTAGAAGAGATGGTGAGACAGGGGTCAAGGTGTAATTTTTGCTGAAAATTGACAAGTACAAAAGAAATAAGTGTAGGTGACAATTGCTAGACTTACTTCCCACCAACATAGGGAATTCCCTCAACTTTAGTAGAAGGGAGATCGCCTTGTAAACCAGGGATGATTTCTGTCAATTGTTGTACAATTTGTGATCCTCACTGTAGCACTGTAGCTTTCGTAACACCGTCCCCATCTTGGATCTCTGCATGCCTATTATCCAAGGCATTCAAAAGAATCAAATTTAATAGAGATAAAATGGATAAATCTCACTCCATATGTATATACATCAACTTCGATCCAATAACAATGATTGGTTAGATCATAAATTACGTTAACAAATTAGAATGTGTACCGCAATGCATGGAGTGAAAGCATAAGGAATGCCTGTAGCTCTAACTTCAAGAGCAGTTGCAGCACCAATTCTCTTCACAAGGGCTGGATCCCTGAAATGGTAAATTCCATTGCTTAAACTTAAAGCAGTATCAAACAATTTACCTGTTTATAACATTGCTCATCTGTTTATGACGTAACGAACCCTTGGAAAATCAAACAATGTACCTGGTTGCCCCAAGACCAACATTATGAGGAAATATGGTAGCCTTGTAGACATTATTGTGACCATGAACAGTATCAATTCCATAAATCATTGGAATCCCAAGTCTAGTGGACAGTGAACCCTTCTGAAACTCATTTATCATCTGAACCCAATCCTTTGCATTGGCGTTTGGACGAGGTACACTTCCTCCCCCACTGAGTAAACTCCCAATGCTGTATTTTTTTCAAGACCTTAGCAGTAATATTGGTCCGATCAATTTGCACCATTTTACCAATCTTCTCTACTAGAGTCATTCGATGTAGAAGGTCCTCAACTCGAACACTAACAGGCTGTTTCGGGTCCTTATATATTTTGTATTTTGCCTCTGCCATTGCTATACAAACACATAGGAGGAGGAGCACCCGTAACATGACTGAAACATTCGGAATCATTTTACTTGGAGATTTGGTAAGACCCTGAAAGCAATTATTTACATAAGATTTGAGTGTTAAGAATGTATATATATGTATATTCTATATGTATATGTCTGTCTATTAGTAGCAGCATCGTATTATGCACAGAATTTGCAACGACTTCCACCCTTGGTAACTCCGTTAAAAAAAATTATACATTAGTATGCTTAACTGATTTTATTTAGAAAATTCTAATTTAAGAGGTTAGTAATCCCTCACCTGACAACCGAACGGCAATAATAGAACAGAAATATATAACTTTGTGTTTTGTTGTTGAATACTACGTAAAGACACTGAGGGCTTGCATGGGTTTATATAGAGCCATGCAAGAACGTAGAAGGGTTTATTTAGAGTACATAAAGTCCACAATAGTAGCAGGCCTTTGCAAGTTGCTTTGATCTGGACCGTCCAGTAGGTATGCCACGAGTCTATATCGCTGAACAATCATTGACCAATCGATTTGGTTAAGTGGATCAATAATGCTAGACTAACCAAATTTTGGGATCAAATTTAAAGTCTAAATAACGTGACAGTTGACTTGAATTTTTTTGATTAGTGTCATGTCATTTGGATCCCAATAAAAACTTCAAATAATCCAATGTCATGTCATTTGAACTCTAAATTTGATTCTAAAATTTAGTCAGTCTAGCATTACTTTGGATCAATTTGACCAATATTCAACCAAATGTGAATAGTCTAGACGTTTCAAATTAATGAACATAGTGAGGGACTAATTTGGGATTAGAACATAATCCTAAAATATTATGGATTTTATGGATCAATTTATTATAAATTTGGATTTATCATTGTACAATCGGGCAAGTGATCATCATTTTTAGATAAACTTTCTAAATTTATAATACTTTCGGTCAGAAGTCCCAAAAATTTATGAATTTTGTGGATCAATTTGTTCTAAATTTAGATTCGTCGTCGTTCAATCTGGTAAACAATCATTGGTTTAGATAAATTTTTTGAACTGATAATATTTTCTTCGCAAAATTTTATGAAATTTGAGGACTATTTTATTCTAATTCTATTTTTACTTGGTAAGAAGATGTTCACAGCCCACGCCCAAAAATTTTACGGATTTGTTGGGCCAAATTATTCTAAATTTAGATTTCTTGTGGTCAAATCCGGAAAGTAATTATTATTTTAAGATAGGTTTTCTACACTGATAAGATGTTTAAAATTGTATTGATTTAGTTAAGGAATTGAATTATTAAGCCAATGGGACAATCATATAGCCCCTTATTTAATTGACTTACCTAGCCAAATGGAAAAGTATCATAAAGGAAATTAGAACTAAAATAAGGTAGTGAAAATTGATGTTTGAGTTCTCTTTAAATGACTTATAATGAGTTTAGTATGTCAAGTAAATTTATTTGGAAATAAGTTCGTTTATAATGAGTTTAGTCCATTAAGAAAATTTATTTGAAGATTAGTTTGTTTTTAATCTTACTAATTAGTAGTTAAATTCATTATTTTTTTAAAACTCCAAAACACTCTTATTTAAAAGTAACTTTAAATTAGTTTTCTAATTTGAGAATTATTATCCCTTAGTTCACTATCAATGAAGATATGCCAATAAATTTTTCTACATAAATTTAAAATTCAAATTTAACGAACAACTGAGACTCTCTCTCTCTCTCTCTCTCTCTCTCTCTCTATATATATATATATATATATATATATATATATATATAATTTTTTTTATCATGTTACTATTTTTGTGAATATGTTACTATTTTTGTTGGACATGCTATTGTTTTTGTTGAGTATATTAATACTGTTATTTTTTCAAATATTAATCCTCAATGTTATTATTTTTTTATTTTTGAATATTATTTTTTTTTGTGTTTAAATGATACTATTTTTTTTTTTAATGTACTTATCTTTGTCTCTTTGTTTCCAGATCATTTTGAGATAAAATATAAACACATCTAACTGACAATGTAATCCTAACATAAAAGACAGTTCAAATCATTTCATAAATACTGATCCGACAATTTACAATAAGTACTGAAATTTATTTTTCCGCCCAACAATCTTTCCTGAGTCACGCCTCTCTCTCTCTCTCCTATGAAATCTTTCAAATCTTCTCCAATCTAACTTCTGCCTCTCTCTTCCAATATCTCGCGCCTCTATCCCAATACAATCCTTAAATTAAACTATCTCTCACTCCTCAAGTCGACCTCTCTCTCCCTCTCTCTCATGCACGCTCCAAATCAAACTTTTCAATTAAATTCTCAACCCAATCCAATCCTTAAATTAAGCTATGTTTCACTCCACGGCGTCTCTCTCCCTCTCTCATTCACTAGCGATCCAAATCAACGATGATATCTTCTCTAAATCAATCCAATCTGACAATTAAACGATCTCTCACTCCTCAACTCTGCCTCTTTCTCCTTCTCTCATTCAATAGGGAAGAAATCTCTCACGTTGGACAAAATTTCAAATCCCATATTTCATGCCAAATCTTTTTTTCACGCCTCATTCACCACCTCAACTGCATCAACACGCCATTATTTCTCTGCCATGGCAATCTCTCAGGTAACAATCGATCTATCATTCACCCCCTCAATCTCGCTAGTTCTCTATTCCCTCAGAGAAAGACCGTCTTGGGTCCCTCCCTTTGCCTTCACCACTACTTTTCGGCAACCCACACCTAAAGGCTCAGATTCTATTTCTCATATTGGGTTTTTTTTTAATATTGATTTTAACCTTAATTTTGTAGGTTGTTTATAGCTCATGGGATGAAATTGTAGGTACCGCAAAGAAGTTAATTTTTCTTGGCGATATAATAGTATGTTAAATATCTATAATCCTATATTACAGTGACTTTTCTTGATTTTTAATTGATCAATTTTAGTGATTAGCAAAAGAAACTGGAGTAATTGTTATCATGTGATTAATGTTACGATCTAGGGTTTTTTAATATAATTCTTGGCCAATTTTAGGTGTGGCAACAATGGTGGTGATCACCAGAGCTTTTGGTGACAGTGGTGATTAGTTGGAATTCGTTCTCTTTCTTTCTTTCTTTTTTGGTGATGTCGGTGGTGATCAGTGGGACATTTTTTGAGCCAATGGTGACCTGTTGAGTTTTTTTTTTTTTAAATTGAATATGATATTCTCATATATTTGAGAATTAAATGATGCTGTATTTACATAGGTACATAAAGTGGGAAGATAAAGCTTGCTGATTTTGCATTACTATCATGATTACGAATGGTAAAATACTGAACCTATCTCTATCCAATACACTATTTTAGGCTATGCTATTGCTTGACTAGTCAAGACTCATTTGATTGCGAAATATTGATTCTGGTACGTTTTTTTTTCTTTCTAAATTTGGCTAATTATTACTTGAAATTCTAAGTATCTAGGTCTAAATATTCACTTGAATAATTAGAACTTTTCTCTATTTTTCTTCTATGAAGCCCTTCCTTCAGTTGGTGTTGCCTTGAACCTTGGAAAAATGAGCTACAGTTTGTAGTGGTTAGTTTTCGCTTTGTTTTGCTATATTTTTCTCATTGTTCAAAATCAATTAGTTGTTTTCTGTTTGTTGGACCTTTTTTTTCCCAGATTTATATTCCTGTTATTAGTTAGTTTTGTTTATGGGAAATTTTTTCTAAATTATTTATTTATTTATATGCCTATATGAATGAATTTAGATGTGTGCTTTCTTGATCCTATTGGCGTGGTTGCTCTATAGCAATGGTTGCAATAGTTGAACTTCATGTGGATGAGTAGAGGTCTGAACTTCTATAGGTGTGTGTCTATTTGATGGCAAAATTCTTTGATAGAGGTTTAAGTTGTGGATGCATATATCATTGTTTATGGTTGATTTGCCATAGAGACATGTATAAATCTGTATATTAACATGTGCATATTCTGTAAATTGATTGGCAAATTTTAAATTAATTACTAAGGTGGCAGAATATATTGGCTGGGATTGTGAATTAATTTTTGGTGTTGTGTTGTTTTAGGGGGTGGACAGGGGGGATTATCTTTAGGTTTGACTACCTGCATTCGTTGAACTAAGAGAGACACCAACTCGTACGAAATGTGTTTTTCTTACCTTTTCTCATATGTGGGCTAGGACGGTTTCCAGCCTATAGTTTATTTTTCATTTAGCATGGATGTGGGCTGTGGATGAATTGATGATTTGGGTTGATTACAATTGTGTCAATCATGAGCTAAAAGTGTTGGACAACACTTTTAGGCACGGTTAACACAATGCGTTCAAGCACGGCTAATTTAGCTGGTATCGTGATGATGTGGTGATAAGTCACTTTGTTGTGTAAGAGTAACAATTATCATCAATTGAATTTTGTTTTTACGAACTGTTAAGTGTTTTTTATCTCATATATAACACTGTGACAGTCGTCATTAGCCAAGTAATATAATATTTTTTGCTTTTTTGTTCTTGGCTTATGTCATTTATTGCAATTATGCACACAACACCACGAATTAATTTTTTTTTTTTCGCTCTTTCAATTGATTCTCATTTGTTTCCAAATACTATAACGATTATTTTTATTTGTTACATAATGTCTTCAGATACGGACAATATATATACATATATATATATATATATATATATATATATATATATATATATATATATATATATATATATATATATATATATATCTGTGTGTGTGAAAGAGAAATAAATAGTCATATATTCTATATATAGATATAGATAAATATGATAGCGATAATTTTAAAGTTAATCAAACTCTTAAAATTTAAGAGTTGTTAGTTTTTAAATGTGTTTTAATTAAACATAATTATTAGGAATATTTTGAACAATAAAAATCAAAATAAAATTAATATTAAACAAATTTTCTTAATAAATTTATCACCAAATAAGTCTAGAAAAAGGGCAGCCTCCAAATTTTCCTTTTTCTTAAGCCTTCCGATGTGGGACGGACAGCTTTTGTTTTCTTTTGACTTCTCCGGCACTGCTTTTCAGTATATGCTTTGGGAATACTTTGTGTTTTTATTTAATCTACTATTACATGAAATATGTTATTTTTATAATTATTCTAACTTTTTAGCAAATTAATCTTATTAGTAATTGTTTTTATTTTTTACTATACTACCGACCATTTGACATAACTTTTGAACCAGTAACCCATTAATCCGACCTTTCTATCGGTTTGGTATTGAGCTGATAACTATGCTCTTTTCTCCACCTTTTATGTCTCTCATTTCTCTGCTTTTCTCTGACGATTGTGAATTATTATTCTACACTGGAGACGAAAGTGATAGAGGAGAGGAAATAATGGGGGCTGGAGTAGTGATGGTCACAAAAGCGATTGGGGTCGATTTATCATGGTGGTAGTGATGATCTGGATTTGGAGAGAGGAATCGACTGCAATCTTTGGGTATCTGTCAGATTCTGATTTTTAAATTTTGATTACGAACAAGAGGTTTTTGATTTTGGACTTGGACTTGCAAGTTTTCAAAGCATTACAAGAATGACTGGGTGTGGTCTCTGTTCATGTGGCGACTGATTCTGATGATTTTTATTTGAATTTGGTGCACAGTGAGGACTGATTTTGATGATTGTCTTTGGGTCTGCTCCTTCGTTTTGATCAAAAATAATAAACGAACGTTTTAGTGGCGGGAGAGATTCCAGTTCAACGGCTGCCTCAGTTTGAGATTTAAGAATTGGATATCACTCCATTTGAGCGACTGTGTCAAAGCTATTAGAGGTCATTCATGGCGACAAAGAAGGTGGAAGGTGACAGAGAAGAAGAAGAAAGAGCTTTGTCGAGCAGCCCCAGATTAACAACTGGCCTTGCGTCCACTGTCCCTACCCAAAAAAACACCGGTACCAAAACTCCAACGGTTATTGCTAGTTGACACAGTGGTAACTGAGACATGAAGAAATTATTATTTAGGCCTAAAATGTCCAAACGATGAGGCTAACTCTATCTATGTATAGAATCCAGAAGTTGTCCTCTCCAAAATACAAGTAAGATTGTTTATCACTTTCCTCTCTCAAGTTTCTGGCAGGAAAAAAACTTCACAATTCAACCACAAGGCAACCAGTAATTTTGCTACAGCAAAGATTTATAGTGTGATTGTTGCAATCGAATATTAAAAAAAAAACAAAAAAAAAAACCACGTTGATCAACGGGAGAGCAAGCTTTGGAGGTACCTCTCCACATTGTTCAGCCCACATTGTTCCTTCACAGTGGGCATGATGGCAGGGACCTCTAGCTGGAATCTGGAATAAGACCCATCTAATCCATTCCAACAAAAAAGTTGTTTTCTGGCTTCTTCAATGGCTGCTCTTGTGGCACAGTAAACTGAAACTGCCAGAAGTAATGGTGGCTCACCAGAAGCTGCAAAGAATTGATTCAATACAATTCAGCAACCAAAAGAAAAACGGCCTCATTCAGTATGGTATATATGGGGGCATGCATTCATATGAATGGAGAGCACTAGGAATCTGACAATCAGACAAGTAGATCAACAATTGTTTTAATAATAACACAACGTTGTGGACAAATTGAAATAAAAGAATAATTATGTGTTTACACCCTAAGCTTCACAAGTCAAATAGTATATGCCCGCTGCAGCAATACCAATCGCTGAGAGGCTAGAAGTGTACAATTTTATGATAGTCAGCCCTGCATATAAATTAAGATGTTTAGAGTTACATTAACAAACCTTGCCCTCACTGACCCCCAAAAAAAAAAAGGCCTTGCCCTCCAAATGTTCTTTATATAGAATGTTTTTACATTCCTCATTTGTAATTGACTAAAGCAATCACATATTTCTCCGGTTAAATACATCCAGATGATTACCCATCAAAAACTTCAAATTATGTTCATCATTAACATGCTAGAAATTCCCTCCCCCCCCCCCCCCCCAAAAAAAAAAAAAAAAGATTTAGTGGCTCGTGTTAATAAGCAAGATCATCCCTAAATGAAGTTGGCTTTTCAAGTTTTTGACAGAATGCACATACTAAACATACCTTTAGAGGAGAGAATACGTTTTTGATGATGTCCACTGTTAAGTACCTCAACATTGAACTCTTTGGGTATGGTATCAAGTGTCGGAATCTTGTATGTCCATGTTCCATTCCCAGTCACTAATCCATCTGAGTTTGTAAGGTATTCTTCAAGCATAAAAAATCCAAGTCCCTGTACAAAAGCCCCCTCAATCTGCACGAAGTTCAAAAAGCTCATCATTGACACCAGATTGGTCCAATATTCAGAATTGCACATTTCAAATCTAATCTCAGAAAGCTTAAATATCTCAACTTTTTAGAATGTGTCCTCATACGAAATGAAATTGGAGCTTAACTTAAATATGTACCGTCAAAACAACATACAACCAAGAGGTTATGAAGGATGAAAACTTCTTAACCTCCTCATTAGAGAGTTATGTGTACTTAAGCCAACCTGTCCCAAATCCACAGCTGGATTCATGCTCTGTCCGCAGTCATAAATAATATCTGCTCGCAAGATTCTGGTTTCTCCAGTCAATAGGTTTACCTCAACCTGCAACACCAGCAGCTTCTTTCTCAGTATTAAGATTTATAAAGTGCTGATGCAGGATAGATGTCCCACAGAACTATAAAATTCGGTAAATATACTGGGCACTCCAGCAATACTCAAAAAAAGAAAGGAAGAAGGCCGGGGGGGGGGGGGGGGGGGTTGTAATGCAATCCAGATGTTCCTATAAGAGGAAAAGGTGTAATAAGACAAACTAACCTCACTCACTGCAGCACCATAATTCAAGTATTGCATGGAAGTGAACTCAGGCACAAAGTAAGTACTTGCTGACAAGTTTACAGATTTGTAATTGGCCTGCACTTTTACAATGAGAAGATTGAGATCTCAACATTCTTAAAGAAACATGAGCATAAAAAAAACTAGTCAAATTTTTCTATACTGCTCATTCACAACAACAGTAATGGCATCTTCCTTTATACCGAATATTTGAAATGACTGCCTATCATGATTCACCATTTCATATCATCTAAGCCAGATTTTTGGTTAGTCTTCTCATTCTAGCAACACCCTCAATCTAATAGTATTCTGATTTTCTCTCATAATAATTTCAATTTTGTACTAGTCCTCACATTGTGAATGTGTTTCTTATCCTTCCTTGTCTTGCTGTAAATTTTCCGGCTGCATATTTTATTATTTTTTGGCATTGCTCAATCAAACCTTCTTATACTTAAAATCAAGATTGTAGCATTTAATTTTTCATGCTGCACAAGTATTTCAGTATTTTTTTCTGAGAGGTATAACAACCTTAATGTAATTCTTCTGACAAAAGCTTTCTAGAGAGCACCATAAAAATTACAATTAATAGGTCAATTGTCTACCATAATTTCGTAAAATGCAAATATGAACAAAGTCTAGAAATGCTGCCACAGGAATAATGGTTTCCTGAAGTAGTACACACACCTAAAGCAACCTAAAGGACCAAGTCTTTGTTATATATATATATATATACATATACATAATAAATAGAATATTTACTAATAAGGACATACTCAATTATATAATACAAGTACATGTCACTTGAACATTAAAATTTGGTGGGAACTCAAAATTTCATCATTTCCTCCAAAAATTGGGATTGAGCATTGGAGGGTGAATTCAAACATTTTGGATTCATCCCACATAGTGTTCTATGTTCCTTTTGGGTTCAAAGGCTCTCCTAGAACTAGAGAGGAGACTTTCATTCTCATCCCAAGAGCCCAAGGAATTCCTCATAAGAGGAGACCCGTATAATGGGAACTTCTAGTAATAATAATTTTAATATATATATATATATATGTAAGAAAGAAGAAGGGGCAACGGTTGGGAAACCAGGAAGGAACTGTTGTTGAAGTTATTTCCTGGTTTACAAATCAGTTCAAAATTTTGAATTTTAGTTGCTCATTGGCAGCTGTTGGGGATTTCTTCCTAACAGATACCAATCAAACCACTGTGGCTTTTCCAGAATGGTGACTTTTGCCTTCTGGAGGAAGAGTTGTGACTTTTCTGAAGGAACTCTATAAATAGGGTTCCAATGCAAGGTTGTGGAATAATTAAGTCATTCACTCTCTTTCTCTCTTATTTTGAATTCCTTCCTTCTACAAGTTCTTCTGCATTAATTCTACTTTCTGTTTTTGAATTCGGGTTGAGTGCTCGGTTCAAAGACTTATAAGAAGTGCAGTCTTAGAAAGTTTTGAGTTTAGGCATTGTATCCATGATAGAATTTCCAAGGGTTCATCTGGATTGTGGTGGGGAAATTACTATCTCGAAGATAGAATCCTGGATTGTCCTTGCCTAAAGGTTTTGTTTTCTAATTTCAGTTTATTATTTCTTTCTGTTTTCAATCATCGTTATTTCTACAACAGTCTTTTAAGTCTAGAAAGGTTATAAAGCCATTAAAATTCCAAAAACTAAGCAAAAGGAATTTCAATAACAATAAATTTCCTTCTTGTTCAGCTCAATAATCAGGAACAACAATTTTTTATCATTTTCATTAAACAAAGAAAAATATCTGTCAGAGATTATTATTAGGACCTTACTAATTTATCATAGATATACGAAAAAGCAAATGAGATGAGCAAGCATTAATAATGAAATCATCATTTAGTCATCTATGATTTTGTAATGATACATAGCATATTACATTTAGAAATCATATGTGAAATCTACATGATTAAATGGCATTATTCATTTATTAAATTAGCATTCTCAACTTTCATCATCATCTGAAAACAAACATAGGAAATTATACTGCCCAGAAAAAAAATAGAACAAATTAGAATATGATTACACAATACTAATTCAGAGTTAAAATAAGAAGTCACCTAACATTTCAAGGATTTTCATTTTATGCTTAAAAAAAAGGAACCACTAAAACAAAACTTGAAATAGAAAGTAACCAAGGGTTGTCAACATGGCTCTTAAATAGTGTTAGGCATTATAACTGAGCTGCAAGTTAGGTAAGCAATTCAAGCCAGCTGACGTTGAATAAGGTTTATGTGTTTTCCAGATGTTTTTAGCTGTACCAGGCACCCCCCCCCCCTTCTTTTCCCCAGGGAAAAAAAAATAAAGAATCAATAACGATGATAATGACACCAAAGGAAAAAGCGAAAAGGAGAGATGAACATAATTTAGATTCCTACTGTGAGTTTCTTTCCAATTTAAGTCAACAACACAGTTGTACAACACTAGCGAAAGATGTTGGAAACAGACTACCCTAACATAGGCTCAACAAAAAAAAAAAAACTACAAAAGAGCACATAAACACAAATGTTCAATTTTTTCCATCAAATAATATAGTTTTATACGAGATGAATTTGTGTACACCTATGTGCCAATATACACATGCATAACATAGGACAGACATCAAAGGAAAAAACCAATGTTTCAACAAATAAAACATTTCAACAAATAATACAACAGAATTTCAAGTCAAATAAAAACAGGAGCTCCCAAATATCATGTGACATCGCCATCATCTGAGAAAATGATGAATACAACTTTTTCGTAGAAACTGTCTTATTGTTTAATCAATAACAAAAACACTTGAAACCAACTCGTGGGCTTTAACAAAGCTTAATATGTAAAGCTGTCATTTGATAGATTTCCGTGAATGATGTAGAACTCTAATCTACATTGTCCTTGTGCTAGGATAGAAATAATTAATACCGATCAAGACTGATCTGAGTTATAGGATTATGAACATTATTGGTGTTAGATGAATCTAGTATATAGTAATCTAGTATATTAGCATTAGGGGTAGATTAGTCATTTATATTACTATGTTTTGCCCTAGTATAAATTCGTTTGTAATACAGATCTAGTTTAGACTTGATCAATATATTTTTCCTCCTTCATTGATAAACATCAACATGGTATCAGAGCTTTAATCCCTAAACTCAAATAATAAATTATGATTAAAGTCTAGAAGAAGAGAAGACCTGATGAACCCGACGACGTGAAGACCTGGTCAAACCCGATGACAAACAGCACTGACATCATCATCGCCGACAATGACATCATCAGTCTGCGATCGTGAATACCACCATCATGATCGATTCTTCATGGGTTTCTCATTGGTGTGCTCCCTTTCTTACTTTAAGTTCATCTTGTAAGTCTTCTGCTTTTTGGTTTCTTGTCTTCACAGTGCACCGACTACCTCCTTCTATCTGTGTTGTGGTCTATTTTGTGGATTTCTTGTGATCGGCTAGCTGTTTCTTGCTTCTACTGTACATCGGTGATTGCTATTCTTGTGGATTGCTACTGTGCATCGGTTCTTGCTTCTGTTTCTTGTGGATTTTTGTTTCTTGTGGTCGGCTGGTGTTGTTGGGTATTCGGTGTTGCTGGGTTCTATTTCTTGTGGATTTTTGTTTCTTATGATCGGCTGGTGTCGCTTGGTATTCGGTGTTGCTGGGTTGCTAGGTTTATTGTTGTTTTCTGCTTTATTTTGGGTATTATTTTGCTGAGACATTATGACAAGTGGACATTCTGATTAAATGGTAAAAATTATGTATATTGGTCTTATGAAGAATTTTCTCTTAGGGAAAGAAATGTGGAGTTATGTAAGTGGTGTTTTGCAAGCTCCGACAGATTTGAAGGCAGAGAAATATGCTAAATTAAGAATACCTAGGAAATCAACAATGCTAAAATTATCACTTAGATTAACAACTCAGTTGATCAGACTATTGGTATGCATTTGGCTAAGTTTAACACAGCTAAACAGATTTGAAATTATTTAGCTACATTGTTTGTTCAGTCCAATTTTGCAAAGAGATATCAGCTTGAGCATGAAATTCGACCTGCATGTCAGGGTGATAAGACCATATAGGAGTTCTACTCGGTTATGACTAGATTTTGGGATCAATTAGCACTTGATGAGTCAATTGAATTGAGTACTCAAATGGTATATCGTACTTTTAGGGAGGAGCAGCGATTGGTACTGTTTTTGATGGCCCTTAAAGATGACTTTGAGGGCTTTCGTGGTTCTATTCTCCATCGTCTCCCACTTCCCACAATCGATGCAGTAGTGAATGAGCTTCTGGCTTAAGAAATCTGTCTTAAGACTCTTTCTGGAAAGGCCTTCTTCCATTGCCTAATCAGACTATACTAGTTGTACCACCGAGAGGAACTCCTCATTCACAGACTAAATATCGGAGTCAAGCTACTTTAGATGAGTGTAGTTTTTATTGTGAAAAGGGTCACTGGAAGGCTCAATGTCCTAAATTGGTGAACAAGAATACCAAAGGGGCCTTACAGTAGCCACTTAGGCCCAAAGATCGTCATACAACCTCAGTTGCTTCACAAGTGGATGAGACACTTCCATCAGCTCCCAACATGACTATGATAGCTGATCAATTGCAGAAGCTTCTTTCTCTTCATCAACCAGGTGCCCTATCAGTTTCTCTTTCCACATGTTTATTTACTACAGGACCTTCAGGTATCTCTCAAACTGCCTGGATTTTTGACTCAGGAGTCACCCATCATATGATTAGTAATTCTTCCTTATTTGTTTTTATTATTTTTCCTCCCTCTATATCTGTCCTTATAGCCAATGGCACCCAAATGTCTTTGGTTGGTGTTGGAACTATCGTGTCTTCCCAACTTACACTTCCTGATGTCTACTATATTTCTCAAGTTACTTTAAATTTAATATTTGTTAGTCAGTTGTTTGATTCGGGATTCTTAGTTCATTTTTCTTCTACTGCTTGTGTTGTGTAAAATTCACGGTCCAAGAAGCTGATTGGGATAGGCCATAGAAATGGAGGACTTTATGTGTTGGATGAACTTCATGTCCCTGAAGTTGTTGCATCTACTGTTAATTTATCTTCTTTTCAATTGAGTCCAAAATCATCTAGTTTTTATTTATGGCATTCTCGTTTATGTCATGTTTCTCATTTTCGTTTAAAATTTTTAGCTTCTACTAGTAGTTTGGGTAATTTAGAGTGTCATGATAATTTAGATTGTAGTGGCTACACATTGGCTAAATTTACTGCATTACCTTTCAATAAAACTAATTCTCGTTCTTTTGCACCTTTTGATCTTATACATTCTGATATTTTGGGACCAACTCCTATTGCTACTAAAGGGGGGTCTAAATATTATGTTTTTTTTACTGATGATCATACCAGATATTGTTAGGTATATCTAATGACACGTAGGTCTAAGTTCTTTTCTATTTTCTCTACCTTTCGTGCTATGGTGCGTACTCAATATTCTTTTATCATCAAATATTTCCGCTATAATCAATGTGGAGAATATTCTTTAGTGCTTTTCGTGATTTGTTGAAATCTGATGGTACTGTTTTTCAGTCTTCTGGTACTGACACTCCTGCTCATAATGGAAACATCGTCACATTATTGAGACAGCTCGTTCTCTGTTGTTGTCATCCAGTGTCCCTAGCTCTTTTTGGGGAGAATCAATTCTTACAGCAGTTCATCTGATTAATTGCATTCCTACAATCCTCAATTCTGGTATCTCACCTTTTGAAAATCTATGTGGTAAGACACCTGACTATTTTTACTTACATGTATTTGGATGTACATGTTTTGTTTTGCTACCTAGTGTTAATCGTATCAAACTCTCGGCTCGTTCTGCCTTATGTGTTTTTCTTAGTTACGGTGAGGGACAAAAAGGATTTAGGTGTTATGATCACAGAAACTCTATGTTTCTCGCCATGATTTTATAGAGCATATTCCTTTTTTCTCTATTCCATATAGTTCTTCATCTCTGCATAAATCTAATCTTATATATCTTGATCCCTTTCCCTCTAGTGTTTCTCTTGATTCCTATGTTGGTGATATGACTGTGGTTGATCTTCCCTCCTCTTTTTCTTCTTTGCCTGATTTGTCTGTTACCCGTCCCCCGATTGTGCATACTTATGTTCACAGGACTCCCACTGTCTCCTCCACAAATGTTGTGCCTTCATCTGCACCTCTTGGCTCCCAATCAATTTCTGACACCATGGATCACACTCCCCGTTACCCTCAATGCACTCGGAAGTGTCCTGACAAGTTTGGTTGATCCAACTCTTGTTATTCCTTTACTTTTTGTTCTTTCCTGACTTCAATACATTCTTTGTCTGAACCAACCTCCTATAAGGAGGCTATACTTAATCCTCTTTGACAATAGGCTATAGGTGAGGAGCTTTCTGTGTAACATAAACCTCGAGCTTAGGAGTTGGTGCCTTTACCTCCTGGTAAACGCCCCATTGGTTGTAAGTGGATTTATAAAATCATAACCCAATCTGATGGTTCAGTAGAAAGGTACAAGACTAGATTAGTGGTCAAGGATTTTGCTCAAGAGTATGGGCTTGACTATGATGAGACATTTGCTCCAGTGACTAAGATGACCACGATTCGCACAGTAATTGTTGTGGCAGCTGTTCGTCAGTGGAGCCTATCCCAGATAGATGTGAAAAATACTTTTCTTCATGGTGATTTGTCTGAAGAGGTCTATATGACTCCTCCTCCTCCTCCTGGGTTGTCTTGTAGTCCTGGTCATATGTGCAAACTTCACAAGGTTTTACATGGTCTTAAACAAGCCCCGAGGGCATGATTTACAAAATTTTCTTCAGTTATATGTGACTTAGGCTTCTGTGCTAGTGATCATAATTCTGTTCTCTTTCTTCGATCCATTTGTTTTGGTTTCATACTTTTATTACTTTATGTAAATGACATGATTATTACAAGTGATAACAATGCTAGAATTCAGTTGTTAAAAACTCAGTTACAGGATAATTTTAGGATGAAGATTTAGATCCACTTTGATATTTCTTAGGGATTGAGGTTGCTTTCTCTCCCAAGGGTTATCTTCTTTCTCAGTCAAAATATGCCTCAGATGTTATTCAGCGAGCTTGTTTATTGGATACTCGAACTGTTGACACACCCTTGGAACTTAATGTTCGTTATACTTCCTCTGATGGTTCTCTCTTACCTGATCCTACCTTATATCGTACTATTATTAGGAGTTTAGTGTATCTTACTGTTAATTGTCCAGATATTGCTTATGCGGTTCACGTGGTTAGTTTATTGCTACTCCTACCACACTTCATTGGTCTATTGTTCTTCGGATTCTTCAATATCTACGGAGTACATTACATTAGAGTTTATTATTTTCTTCTTCTTCGTCTCTAGAGTTCCGTGTTTACTTTGATGCGGACTGGACTGGTGACTCTATGGATCACAAATTCACTACTGGTTTCTATTTCTTCCTTGGTGATTCTCTTATTTCTTGCAAAAGTAATAAACAAACTGTTGTAGCTCGCTCTTCTGCTGAAGCTGAATATCGTGCTATGGCATCTACCACAGTAGAGATAGTTTGGTTGCTTGCTGATCTTGACATTTCCTTGACTACTCCTACTCCTATGTATTGTGATAATACCAGTGCTATCCAGATTGCTCATAACTCAGTATTTCATAAGCGCACCAAACATATAGAGATTGATTGTGACTTTGTGCGCCATCATCTTCAACTGGGCATGATCTCTTCCTCATATCTTCCTTCTACTATGTAATTGGCTGACTTCTTCACCAAATCCCACACTATCGTACGCTTTCGTTTTCTCCTTGGCAAACTCTTGATGTTGGATGCTATCACATCATGAGTTTGAGGGGGGATGTTAGATGAATCTAGTATATAGTAATCTAGTATATTAGCATTAGGGGTAGATTAGTCATTCATATTACTATATTTTGCCCTAGTATAAATTCATTTGTAATACAAATCTGGTTTAGACTTAATCAATATATTTTTCCTCTTTCATTTATAAACATCAACAATTGGGTATTCCACTACTTGGATGAACAGTGCATGGGCATTTATCAACGAAAATAACATTACTAAATATGAACACCACTTTTGTGAGATTTCTGCATCTGCATCTTTATATGTTTCTTAAAGCATTCTAGAAGCAACTGTCAGCAATTTCACTATTGAACCCCTAGTTATATTTTTATTTCTTTTTGGTTGGTTAGGAAACCACTAGTTATTGCTATCGTATTTTTAATCTTTTTGAGGACCTTTAAATTTCCTCTATTTGACATGCACACAGAAACAACATTTTAACAAAAATATTTTCAAAATCTCAATCCAACTTTTTGGATGTCATTTTGTCAAACACCATTTACTTATATGAAAGACCATGCCTGTGCCCCCCTATTACATAGTTATCATGCACATAAAACCTAAGACAATCATTCATCCGTCATATAATGGGCAATATCTTTTACTTGACCATATCATGATCATGCCCATATAAATTTACAGCTGCTATAGGGCTGTGAAGAAGGGCCATAGACTAGTAAAGACACAATAGAGGAAAGCAACATGCGTCAGCATCGGGTGACTCATCAAAGTAGTTTACCCTTTTAAGGGTAGTGGCATGAAGAAGAACAAAATTTCAATAGTGAAGATAGGTACCTGGAGAATCAGAGTATCCCAATTTACAGAACCCATTTGCTCCTGTAAATTTTCTTTAAGTGGGGTTAGTCTTTCAACCAACATATTGCAACAAAGTCTAACAGCTTCACAACTTGATTCAGATGTAGTGCTCCCAGCAGTAAATCCCCTTGTACTAAGCCCAAGGTATCTGCTTGCACAACCCGTACTTTCTCCAAGAGATCTTCAGTTCCATCACACTGAATTGAACTGAGAGCAAATGCAGTCACCTGTTTTACCTTCGTCCACAGCCCCTGACCCAGCTCAATACCGCCAACTTCTACCACGACAGACCCATCCCAAAGAATACTTACTTTTCCAGGGGTTGGTCTTAATGTCACTTCATTTATAACGGGAACCCGTGATATACCTTTTTTCCGCCATCTATTAGAGTTATTAAACTTTTTTATCATTTCAATTCTTTGGGCAAACCTTGAAGATTTGGCTAACTTATCCCATATAGAAGGCAAGGTATAATCCAGAGGATCACCAGCACTACTCTCATAAAATTCATTGAGGCTGTCAAATTTGTGAAGATTTTGGTTTCTGACAGAATCCACTTCCATTGACAGCATAGATGCTACATCTTCTATTACAGCTTCAGCAATAAAGGATCCCTGCATCTCCCCAGGGCCACGCATTGCAGATTTACTGGAATGGTTTGTCTTGCACACCTTTATATCAAAAGACAAAGCACCCCAATCATACTTCTTAAGTGCACCCACTATGTTTAGTGGCATAATGGGGCTTATATCTACAAACATCCCCGAATTGATTAATATATCAAGGTGTAGAGCTGTTATGTTCCCATTGGATTTGAACCCAACACTATAGGTTATCTTCATGGGATGTCTTCCTCCAGTCATAATCATATCAGTCTTGCGGTTGACATAAATCCGGACTGGGCGGCATAATTTGTGTGCTGCAAGTGCACATGCTGTAGCCACCTGAAACATCATATTTTTAGTATTTACATCAAAATTCCTTAAGTGAAGAAAGGATAGAACCAGACCATTATTTTACTGGCATCAGATGAAACACAAATTCTTGAAAGAATCCAAACAATATGTACATGTGGGTGGGTGAGGGTGTAGCTATGCAGTTTTCCCCTGTTCTTTTTGGTGAAGATTTTCTGTTTTACAAGCGAACCTCAAACAGTGCAAGGGAGTTTTATTGAATAAAGACAAAATTACATCCTAAAGATGGGGGAAAGGGGGGGGGTAATGAGCCTTACCCCAAAGAACTAATACAATACAAAATAAAATAAGTGAAATCCAACAAGAAACAATGCAATGCATGCATGAATTACTTTTGGCAATGGTTGGGGGACGGAGGGAATAGAAATTTGAATTTCTTTGCTTTGAGGGGTATAATCAGGAACTGGAATACGAAGCACATAGTAAATTGTTTTATCAAGTGCAAAATTTCCTCATTCAGCAGGATGTTAACAACATAAGGTTCATTGAACATCAAGGTAGAAGGATAAACAATGTTGGTGCTCCACAAGTAGGCGTTCTAATAGTACCCACACAGATGACAACCACTGAAAAACAATAACCATCATCCTACAAAACAATCTCTTCATAAACATGCTCCATCAAGTTGACCATGAAATATTGTCCACCCCTTTATTTGACGACTCATTTGCAGCAGAGAAAGATGAAGAGCAGCCTGTCAATTAGTGGCTCAGGTATCAATGGTGCAGGGAAGATATTCTTGATTACATAATAAAGAGCAAGTACTTGATGTTAATAGAAGTATTCATGTACTTATGCATTGATTTCAGGTATTTTAGTCGATGAAATTGAGAATTTTTTTGTGGAAATATATAAGAAAAAAGCTCAATGAGTCTATGGTCTATGACTCATGTCAAGAGACTTGAAGTGACGTTTCATTCTCAGGTGACAACAAAATTTTGATTTTGAAGTAACAAGCTCAAAACCAAGTCTTTGGCAAACTGTTGGCAAGGACAAAACAGAATTAAATTACAGTGTGGGAATGTTGTCCCTCATAGCTCTCAGTTGATAGAGGTCAAGGGTTCAAAATATAAGGGGGAATAAAATCGGGATCCTACTTTAGATTGATGGAAGTTGGTGTAGGATTGGGATCGTAGGATCGGATCGAAAATCGTAAGATCCTACCCATTAAAGAAAATAGAACTAAAAATACAGTCAACAACAAAGATTTAACGAACCAAACCTTGTATCTATACTTAATGTAAATATATGATGATAGACATATATATAATATGCGTACCACAAGCCAACTCAAATAAAATTGAGAATGTAGCTCAAAAGGTAGACGTTTCACATTAATATTGTAACATTCAAGTTATAAAACAGAGAGGAGCCAAATACATAAGGGTTGTAATAGCAAAATCTAAAAATTACAATTTAAGTTAGGGCTGTAACAGGGTAATAACTAATAACAAAACACAGAGGCGGCAAAACTGATCCCAGACAATAGAATTTCAGAAACCCATACAAGAGGTAAACATTAAGGAGAAATAACACAGAAAACACAGAAATAGCACATTCTGCTTCAAAATCAACAAAAAAAATTAGCCTAAGTGGCAATGCAAGTGTAGAATCATGGAATCGTAGGATCGTATTTGGGATCACGATCCTACAATTTTGAAGGATCCGGATCGCGATCTACATCGATTCTACTGCCCAGCGATTTTGTATACGATCCAAATTGATTTGTAAAAGTGCAGGAATGTTTTCCCTCATAGCCCTCAGCTGATAGAGGTCAAGGGTTTAAAATATAGGGGGTAAGAAGGGTGTCTAAGACTGTTTTTGTCATGTGGAAGAGAAAATAAATGTGCATATGTGCAATTACATCTAAATAAAGCTCACATGAAAACTTTGAGTTTGACATGAAATAGATAAGCCAAAGTTATTAGTCTCCGAGAAGATGAGGAAAATTAAAGACAACATGGACTTCATGACAGGAATTTCGGAGCCCCATACTCTTATGACTTTAGCTTTTCATTGATAAGAAGAAGCTTCAATTTTTATTTTCCCTATTCCCATTTACAGTAGAAGAAATTAGGGAAAGCATGAACCAATATTTTATTCCAGTTTTGATTTGAAGCAGCATCAGAATTCAGACAAACAATCTGGGTATCCAGAAGTGACGATCTGGGTATCCAGAAGTGACAGAAATGTCCTATTTACTTTTCTAACTAGATAAAGGAAAAAAATCTAATGAAAGCATATTATTAAATTATATGAATTTAATCATGTTTCAGAAATGTGAAGAGTTCAATTTGCACCTTGTGCAGTTCTTAAAGCATTAATCTATTTGGTTCTGAAAAAAGTAAAATTCTAGGAATTGTACAAGTAGATACATACCGGCATTGCTCTTATGGCCTTGCCACCAAATCCTCCGCCAACCCTTCTAGTGATCACACGGACATTGTGTGCAGGAACACCAAGACATCTTGCAATTACAGTGTGTGCAAACTCGGGGCACTGAATTGAACTGTAAACCACCATGCAGTTGTCTTCATCCGGGACTGCAAAGGCAGTTTGTGTCTCCATATAGAAGTAGTATTGTGAACCAAGTTTAATCTGGATACCACAATTAGCAATGGAATTTGATAATAAGCATACATACTAAAAATTGACAGTTGACTGTAGAAAGTTCTTGATCAGTATAACCATGTCAACATGGAAAATGATCAAGTTGACAATCTAGTGCTTGAAAAGAGGAAATTTTTAAAAACTTAAGGAAAAGAATAAATGATCAGAAATACCTCAGAGGAGAGAATCTTGTGGTCAGCTTCAGCCATTCCTTCCGAGAAGTCACCAACATGAGATGGATACAGAAAAGGAGGAACCTCATAGAAGCTTGATCTCTCAACAGCCTCTTCAACAGTTAAGATGGGTGGTTCTAAGTCTTTAGAGTCGTAATCAACCACTGCCATGTCTGCTGCCATATCTGCATGCTTCTGCGTATCTGCAACCTGAAATAGGTATTCCATTTAGCATTTTAGACATGCAAACAAAGTTTATAAAAAGGAAAAACTCACACATCTATCAATAGTATAATCGCAGTCAAGAAGAGGATATCAACTCGGACGCTCATAAACAAGATGTGCTGGAACATGGAATTACCACAAAAGCAAGAGGCTGGCCAGCACACCTGGTAAGATCATCAGCAAATAATGGTTCGAAACCAAACATGGTTCTTGATCCTACATTCTCCCCTCCTTTGGGGATGTCTCTAAACGAAATAACAGCAGCGACTCCATTTGGTAGTGACTTAGACTTGAACTTGACATCCTTGACCCATGCCAAAGGTTTTGTGCTATAGATGAATGCCCCATGAAGACAGTTTGTTGGTGAAGGAATGTCATCCACATAGACAGCTTCACCTACATAATTGGTCAGCAAAACTCAGAATATGACGAGAAATTTATGGTTACATCCTACAGAACTTAATCAAACTTATAAGAGAGAGAGAGAGAGAGACAAAAAGAACACAATAAAAGAAATTAGAGACAATGGTATATAAAAAATAGTGAGAATGAATTAAGGATCACCTGAAGTCTTACATGTTAAAAGATAGTGAAGAGCAGGCAATAACGAAGACGACAGATTCACACCAAGGACGGAAGATTATATTATGATTTTATGATTATAACATGATATTTGTGAAAGGTGTCAGTCATCCTAGTTGGTATACCAGACCAGAGACCTAAGATTAAATCCTTGCTTACCCTGGCGTATAGCCCATCACCTTTATGTGCAGGAGGCCAGGGAAGAAATATATGTTCAATACTTTTAGGCCTTTTAAACATCTCTATTTTCTAGATCTAATTTAAGCTCTCTAATACATGGAAATGGTGGGACCAGAAACCAGAAGTTTGGGAGTAAAACTAGGCAGACGTTGGGGAGTAAAACTTCAAAGTGATAAAGAGAGCCGTATCCTAAAAAGAATAACAAACCAGAAGCTTGAATGGCTGCACCAGATTTTGAAATTGGTTCACCGACTGGGTGGTACTCTCTACTTGATATCACTACCTGCTTTGCAGATGACAACAATGCTGGGCTTTCAGTAAGATCAAAATGGTCACCATTGTTGTTTACCTTGGGCATCTCTTCTAGCAAAGAACCATTACATCTATCCAATAAACCATTGGACATTACAGCACCCTCATTAATGAAGGGGCCAAAAAACTCAAAAACATAACTGACCGCCAAGCTTGACCTGTAATCAGAATGTGAAATGCCATCTTCAGGAACCACAGTGGCTCTAACTAACTTAAGAGCTTCATATAAAACAACTATACTCAGTGTTTTCCCATCTAAATATTCCTCAACTGTCCCTGCCCTTATAGCATGCTTAGTCCCATAAGCACCGAATGCCAACTGAACCTTATTTACCACAACTCCAGTCTTACAGGGAGAAACATCAGCCAAGAAAGCAGCATTTAAATAAGGTAATGCATTTCCAAGTGGTCGTGGTGCTGCACGATATGTTTCAAACAGCAACTTAGAGTCAGTTTCAGTTGATTGTCCATTTTCCACATGCTTCCAGTGGGGAATTTGAACACTTAAAAGAACACTTCTGGAGTCTAACGGTGGCCTCTCCAAGAATTCCTCCAATGTAAGCTTTTCATATTTCAGACCTGTCAATATACTAACTGTTGTGCCCACAGCAAGAAGTATTGTGGCAATATCGGAAGGAAAATAATTCCTTTGTGCCATCACCAAATTTCCTCCTACAGTAGCAGAGTTTCGGATGGACTCTGAAGCAATCTTCTCCATGTGGTCAGCAATTTTCAGGAATACCAAATTGTCTTCTGAGCATGACTTATCTTTGTTTTCTTCTCTCAAAGATATTATAGCTTTTGAGATTGTCACCGCAGCTCCAATTTCAATTCCTGTTCTTTCCCTTTTAACCATTGAGAGCTGAGGAATGTACCGCAGATCAATGTATTTGTCATACTGTCGAAGTTCTGGGTAATAACCCATCCCAGTGTTACCAACAACCAACCTTGTCCTTTTACCTTTTTCAGCCAAATTGATTTCCAACAGGCCTTGAAGCTCCTCAACAGTAGAAGGACAGCACCAGGAATATCTTCTAGAATCCAACGGCATTGCAGACTTAAATTCATCTTTCAAGTATTCAGGATATATACAATTCTGATTATTTGGACTGTAAAAAGGTAATCTACTTTCTTTTACTTCCCCAATCTCACCCTTTTTCCAAAAAGAATTGATCCCCAAGTCCTCCATATCAACATCAGCAGCAAAACTTTTGCAGGCATCCGCAATTGGACGATATCCAGTACATCGACATAGATTTCCTGATATAGCCTTTTCAGCTTCAGAAACAGTAAGCTTGGAGAATCCTGGGGGAGGCTCCGGCCGATCTTTTTTTTCAGCATTGACAAGTGCGGAGAAGAGCGACATACACATTCCGGGAGTACAAAAGCCACATTGAGAGGCATGGAAACCAGCAAACCTTTTATGAATTGGGTGGAACCCATCTTTGCTATTTCCAATGCCTTCAGATGTAGTAATTGAACACCCATTTACGCTGCAAAGCAGTACTAGACATGAATTCACTGGGAAATTTTCAACTTGCTCACGGTCAGGGTCATATTTAGATAGGAGAACAACACAAGCACCACAACCACCTGTGACCATAAATATTCAGAAACAACAAAAGTGCAAATAAATTAAAAATTGCAACTTGACAAGAAATAAAGATGAATTAGTCTCAAATCAGTCAAGCACTCCAGATATGGCCAGATCAATTAAATCAAAAATGCTTAAGTCAAAGAATCATCAACAATTAGAGCTGCTTTAATCTTCAATGGTCATTTGGAACAGAGGAGAATGTCAGACATTGAACCTAATGAACCGAATATTTCACAAAGCACAGTCCAGGGAAAACTTATACTTCCTTAGTTCCTAGAGAATGAAAACCAGGATCAAATAAATTAATTTCTTCCATTCCTAAATTTCTTATTTATGAAGCAAATACAAATAAAATAAAACAACTAAGCACAAAATTAGAATAAGTGAAAAGAATTTAAATATTTTCCCATTATCCTAACAAAGAAAATTAATCAAAGTCCAACTAACACACTTGGAGAAGCTTCTAACTAACCACATAAAACCCCAAAGAAATAAACCCAAGCATCTCAAAATGTCACTACCAACCATTCCAAGCAGTAAAAGCAGAGGAATTACTCATAAGCAACACTCAAAATCAAACAATACAGAGAACAAACATAATATAGTCATCTTTCCCATGAATAAAACCCATCTATTCACATGAAGAAAGCTCATCAACCCAGAATCGAACAATTCTAAATTGATTAAGACACAGGCACGTGTATGTGAGTGGGTTGGTGGATAATTGTAGAGATAGAGAAAAGAAAACCCATCAACACATTCTAAGAAAAGAATCCATGTCAGAATCCTACAAATCACAACTAATATAGAATGAAAACGGGTATTTATTTTTACATATATTGAGATAGAGAGAGTGAGTGGAGAGACCTTGGCCACAACCCAGCTTGACACTCTTGAAACGAGTATGAGAGCGCAAGAATTCGAGCAAAGTGGTGGAGGGGTCAACACTTGGGAGTTCAAACCTTTCTCCATTAACTGCCAATACCAGACTGTTGGGACATGTTGCTGCTTTTATGGTTTCGCTCTCCTCCATTTCTGATTCTGAAAAGCGGGCAGCGGTAGAACTGACCTTCAAGCACCTTATCGAAGACCAACAAGTATAAAATTAAAAAGGCAGACAATGGGATGAAGTCTGACGTTGTTGGTGAGGAACATGCAAAAAACCATCTGGCCACCATCATAACTTGGATAAATTACACTGACAACCCTTGATATTTCTGACATTTTTAATAGACCTCTCTTGTTTCTAAAATTACACTGAATCTCTTAAGATATGATAACTTATAACAGGTTTCCCCTTCTATTAAATTTAATTAAATTAATTACTTCAACTATTCATTTTATCCTAAAGTGGAAAAATCAATATTTGGACCCTTGTATTTTCAGTCTTATAGAAAAAAATGGATAGGTAGGTTTGTCCATATGAATGATAAAAAAAGGCAATCGAAAGTTTACTCGTGTAGACAAAATTGAATCATATGATACATCAATCTCAATCTCAATCACTATTAAAACTTTTTTTTTCATTCACACTACAAAAAATTATTGCAAAGAATTTTTAATTAATTTGGTGGAAAAAAATTTTAGAAAATTTTAGGGAATTTTTTTTGACATATTTTAGAGTGTGAATAAAGAATTCTATTTTAGTATTGCCATAATTTTTTCTCCTAATTATTAGATCAAATGATCCAATTTTGTCTACAAGAATAAAAATTTGACGAACTATTTTTTTATCATCTATATTGAAAAATATGATTGTTCAATTTTGATTATTAGAGTAAAATTACAAGGGTTGGTTTTTACTTGAGGGTAAAATAGGTAGTCCAAGCCATTAATTTAAGTAAATTAGACAGAATGGTGAATGATTAACCGTGAATTTTATCCAAATTGTCTCATTTCAAGAGGGTGAATGTAATTTCAAAAATAGGAAGGGATATAGTAAAAATTTCAAAAATAATAAAGAGAGTCAGTGTAAATGAGAGCGTTTAAAGATTACCCTGATAGACCCTCACTAGAGGGATCATGAGGCTCCTAATCGCATCTGTTATTTCTTTCGAAAATAAACCTAACTAAATTAGTATAATGACCAATCACCGAATCCCAATATAAACTCTTTTTAAATTTTATTTGAGTCGTTTAACATTAATCTTATTTTTCTAACCTTGGGTCAAGGAAATCTTATTCAGGGATTTGGACCCTATACATTTAATCATATTTGATTAGGTTGATGAATCCGACTGACACGAATGAATCTTGAATAAATAATACAACCACTAAGATCGATTTGAAAACTTGGATGTCTCATGTTGTCTTATAAAAGTCTCAAAAAGTTGGACTTGAGAATTTCGATGACTTTTATAAAATGTTTGAACATTTGGAGTTAAGCGTCAGTCTCGATTGGTGATGAGCGTCATTTATTATGTGGAAGTCTACGAGCGGGTTATCTATGGATTCTGTTACTCAGCTTAAAAAAGTAAGTTTAAAATTTAATAGGTTTAATAGTTGGCTCAATCGAGTTCAAATCCAATAACCTTAAAAGGAGGGCTTGGATTTTTCTTAAATCCATTACTCGATCCGAAGCCCTACCAATAATCCCTCTAAAAAAATTCATTAAAGGAAATTTGGAGGCCGATTCCCCTATATGGACTTGTTTGGACTTAAGTCCGTTAAAGAAACTTATTTATTATGAAGTCCATTTTTTGTCAATTTTACCATATTATCCATTCCTTTTAGAAATGAAATAAAACTAAAAATTAAAAGTTCTTAAATTTTAGGAATTTGATTAACATTAAAATATTTTATCTCTCATATCTATCTATATTCATATATAGGTTAAGAGTTTAACTAATATTAAAATTTTCTCTCTCTCTTATCTATCTATATATAGGTATATATATGTATATATAGTATAGTAACATTCAAAATAAAAAATAATAACATTCAAATACAAAAAAAAATTATCATTTGGATACAAAAAAATAATACATTTAAACCAAAAAAATAGTAACATTTAAACATAAAAAAAAATTGAAACATTCAATATTAATATTTTTAAAAAATAACAACACTAACATGTTCAATAAATATATTAACATGTTCAACAAAAATAGTAACATGCTTAACAAAAATTGTAATATACTTAAGAATAATTATTTTTCTCAAATTCAAACGCAAAAAATAGTACCATTCAAATACAAAAAATAGTAATATCAAAAAAAAAAATAGTAACATTAAATATTAATATTTAAGAAAATAATAGTAGTGACATGGTTAAAAAAAATAGTAACATGCTCAAAAATAATAGTATAAACAGTAGTATACTTAATAAAAACAGGAATATGAACAGTAACATAATAAAAAAAAATAGTAACATGAATTTGAATTTTTTTATTGTAATTCATAGTAATTTTTTTTTGTATTTGAATGTTATTATATTTTTTTATAATGTTATATATATATATATATATATATATATATTAATGTTAGTCAAACTCTTAACATATATATGAATATAGATAAATAAGAGATTGAAAAAATTAACTTCTATAGATAAATATGAGACAGAAAAGATTAACTTTTATTCAAGGAAGGGTATTTTTGAGATAAAAAAAAGTGGACTTAAGTCATTACATATAATTTTAAATATGGACTTAGCCCTTATAAGTTTCCTTGCAAGACTTATCTCCAAACAAGTACATTTAGGGGGACTCTCTTTCAATTTTCACTTCATTAAAATCCGACTCAGGAGTCCACCTTGCCCACACTTCTTTTGAAAAAAAAATTATACTTTTAAAACAATAAATTTGAAACTTTGAAATAAGTTTTCTAATGTCAGAATTTGAAGTTTTAAAAATTTAAATTTTATAAATAATGTATTATTTTTCTTTTCCATGTATTAAGCATAAAAGTTTTAAATGATGGAGTAATGTAAATGATAGATAAGTGAGTAGGTGACAATCTAGTTTGAATGTGTTCATTCTATTAGATGAAGTTCATCCCTTAATCAAAGATAAAATTATTCGTTATTTTATTTTTATTCATTTTGATTCTAATTTTGATTCAAAAATATAATTTACACAAATATTAAATTACAAAAATATTCATTATTTTTAAATAAAGTTATTATAAAAAAACTCGCGAGCAGGCCCGCCCAACAAACCCGTCCAGAAGGCTCGCCCACATGCCCATCCAATAGGCTCACGAGTTAAAATATGGGTAGCTTACTCCTACCCGAAGTCTAATTCGCCCGATAACTCACTTAAATAAGGGCTTAGACCTACACTACACAAATCTGACTCAAAAAAAATTTCACGCCGGTTAGCCCAATAGACACCCCTAAAGTCCTTTTGGAAAAGGTAATTTATATCTTTCTTTTCTTTTCTAATCTCTTTTTATTTTAAGTAAAACTGTGTTTAAATGCATTTTGGCAGTTATTTCTCAAAATCGCACACTTCTTAAAAGTCAATGTTTCAAAAATATGATTTTGCTAAAAAGAATTGTTGATTCCGAGCACTACTTTCTTACCGTGTCAAAATCATGTTGTAACATCACATTTCTAGGAAAATCGTAGTTGTGAAGCTTAACATATGGTCTAGAAATAGGTTGATAACTCGAACGAGCTATTGGGTACGGCTTGAACTTGGTTCAGAAGAACTCGACTCAAGTTTACTTTGTAATCTAAACGAATCGAACTTGAACAATATTTTACACTCATTTTTAGGCTCGGTCCAAGCTCAGAAAATTCGACTCGTATATTTGTAAAATAGTCAGACTACTCGGGTTCGAATCGATTTCAGCTCAAGTTTAGACTCGGGTTCGAGCTTGACTCATTTTTTAAACAAGTAGAATTTGAATAATTATTTATGCCTGTTTAGAAAAACGAACTCAATAAACTTAATTTGAACTCGTAAAACTCGATTTGATTTATTGGCCATCATTTTCACTTTAGTACCCAAAAGTCAAGGTGGAGTATGAAATTTTACATGGAGCTTCATTAGGAAAAATGCACTAAAACATCAAAGTCACAAAGAGGTCCCTAAAAGTCAGTGTTTTTTAGTGGTATTGTCATGCTTTGAAGAGATCTCACGTCAACATTTTTTAGTGTTCAAAAAGGATACGATACTGAAGGAGGAATCATACACAATGGAGTGTTGGCCCGAGGCATCCTAAACCACTAAGGCCATTTCCTAGAACCCTAAATGGGAAGAAAATTTTAGAGCACCAAATATAATTTTAAATAATATTATTGAACTTATTTTGGATCTAATTTAAGAATTTAACATATTTTAACTATAAATGAGCAGTGGGTGTTAGTATAAAATAAAATTAATTAT